CCCAAAGGTGCTGATGAGGAAGGGAGAATAAAGGTGGGGTGGGAGTACAAAAGTCTACACAAATCTTATTTTCAGCAGGATAGAAAGAAACATATTGCATTTGTGACAGTTAGTTGGATGGTTCAGACATAATGATGGCGATCGTCAGCACTGAACCTTTTTGAAGGCCACATTTATATCAACAGATATTAGCTAGATGCATTCATTATCTCCCGTGTCATTATAAGAAATTTGTTCTAATAGAATTGGTGCCTGCCCTTTTCCCTTTTGTCATTTAGATTATAAGCCTGCAAGCAGCACTGTTTTGTTTTTATTGATTGAACATAATGCCTCTGTGTGCACAGAGTCTTTTGGGCTAAAGATCAGTATAAAAAGATTTTCAGTAAAAGAGGGACATCTTGTGACCCTCCAGATGTTTTGACTGGATGAGAATTACAGATACCCAGGGCCACAAGTTGCCCACTCCTTTAAATAAATGATGGGAACAATCCTGTGTCCTTGGACATTGCTTGCGTTTGAATTACAGCCCCAAGATCAGAGATGGCACTCTATCACCTATCCCCCTTTGCAGCCAGAATGGTGAGAACCACAGCAGCAGCTGATGATGAAAGAAGCCTCGGGATACTTAAAGGGAACAGGGCAGGGAAAGGAGAAGACTGGATCATCTGAAGACTAGGATGCAAAGTGTCCTGAAACCACCACTTTATAGCACCTTCCATTTTGCATTGGATTAACATGAGCCTCCAAGTTCGAAGGCTTATGCTCATTGCCTTGAGCCCTAATTCTATATTTGAAGATAAGCATCTGCAAAGCCAAGGATGTCTCTAGATTATCAGAAATGATGCAACAGAAAGTAGAGCATCATAGTACCCAGTGGAAGAGAATTTCAGCCTTTGAGATAAGACTCAGCAGGAAAAGCAAGGCAACTTGTAGAGAAGGTTGTAATAGTGTGTCCTTGATTCTTCTTCCTCTTCATCTTAATTGGTCCAAGTATCTCAGTGTCACCCCTTTCTCCCAACCCCAAACTGTAATGCAGGATGCTGTGCTTGCCACAGCTTGCATTGATTTTTAGTGTTTGAGAATGGAGGTACTGGTGGGAAATGTCTGTCATTGGCACATTTGTGTTCTTTTGAATTCTTCCCACACTCCCCTTGAAGCAGTGATTCTTGAACTGTGAGGTAGCCCTGCCCACCCAGTTCAAGGAATACAGACAAACCTTTCTCCCCACCAGCTAAAATGTAGGTGGGTTCCAAGACCCCTGATAGGGGATCCTTATTCATAAGCACTAATTTGTCTGAATGACTATTGACATTCATCATCATCCTAATGAAGGAAGGGCAACTACTCTTGTTCTGAGTTTTCCCTGTGGTTGTATGCTGGAGCCAGATACTCAGTTCTTTTCCTGCCCTAATGCACATTTCCCCAATCCATAATTTTTATGGACAGCAACTGGCAGTACATCTTTGAACACTCACCTACAGAACAGGGCTGGCTGGGAACAGGGAAACACAAAGTAAATAAGCTGAGGAGTTGTTAAGGAAACTTCAAAAAGTTTGAGACATTGCCTTGAAGTTTAATGTTGATGTGGCTTTGCACTTTCTTTCCTTTTTTGTCCAACAGCTCAGCCGAGGACAAGATTGGGTAGTTGCAGGTAAATGGATCTTGCTTAGTCTTCATTATCATTACTAATGGATCATAGCAAGCTGATTTAACACTGAATCAAAGCAACTAGCTCAGTATAGTCTACCTTTGACTGGCAGCAGCTCTTTTTCTATTTTGCTGCCCGAGATCCTTTTTAACTTACTTTGGGACCTTTTGCATGTGAACTGTCACACCACTGAGTTTTGTCCTCTTCAGATTTGAACAGCTTACTTGGACTACACATGTGCATAGTGACAAAGGTAGACATCCTTGCCCTGCAGAGCCAAATATTTTCTTTCTTTGAAGAATATAATGACTAGTGTTGGGAAAGTGTTGAGAAGCCTAGCTAACCCAAGTGTCAGTTCATTTCCTATCCTTGCTTATGACAAGATAATTGAGGGTGTCATCCAGATATATTTCATTCAGAAAGTACCTCTGATTGAGGTACTTTCTCTGCCTGCTTTTACTTTTCTGCTTTGCAACAGTTGAGAAAAGATGCTGCATTTCTTGAGGAGGTGTGAATTGTCTATTGATTTTGTGATCCGTAGGTTGAGAACAGTGCTGTGGCTTCCCCACATAGATTGCATATGTCACAGAACATGAGCTTTCCATAACAAAAGTATCATTTTCTCCTCATATCTGACTGCCATAGCTGTTCATTGGCAATATGTGTGAGGCCTTTGACTGAAAGAGGCAGTCATAGCACATGACTGACCTCGTGGAGAGGCAGCTGGGCTCATTTGATCTTCCCACATGTAGTACTTCTGCTTCCCGTGCGCTGGCTCTTTCCAAGACCGGCTTTCTGAAACTGGTGGTCCTTATTTAAAAAATGTTCTGAATGTTCAGTAGGAATGCTGCTGGTGTGACTGCTTCCCTAGTACTGAAACAGGCTGCTGGAAAAGGCTCTGAAATGCAGAACTGGACCCTAAATATTTGAAGCTGTGTATGTGGGGGGCTCCCAAAAGGCCTCACCAGAGCGTGTGAAGACTTCCTAATTGTGCTGGAGATCCTGTGTGGTTTAGCTTGGCTGTTAATAAAAACATTTTATCATCTCTAATGAACTCACATTAGTGTCAACTTTAATACTATTGTTGCTTAGCTAGATAATGTCTCTGTAAAAATGCTAATCAGAAGTATCAGGATTTTAGTGGATTTAGTTTTGTTGACCTCCCAGTGGGACCCAGTCTTGAAACAACATTCTCTGTAAGTGAATTGTACAGCTTGCTGGAAAACATCAAAGAGTGTGTGAAGGCTTAAAATCTGTTCACTGAAGCTGGCAGGTACATTTAGCTTCCCCTGCCCTCTCAGTGCAGGAAAACATAAACATGGCATCACGTTACAACAGTTGGAGCCTAATGCAAGCAAGGGATCCACATAAGACCTTGCCCTTTTTTTTCAGAGCGTATGAGTGTGCTTTTCCCCTGTTCTTTATCCTTGGGATAAACTTGGATTTATTACTATTTTTCTTCTTAACCAAAACATTGTGGTGCCTAAAGAAGGTGGGGAATGTGTTTGTATTGTCTTCATTATTCCCTGAGTATGGAAAATGAAGGAAGGAGGGTTCCGAAGAGTTGTTTTACTTTGGAGACTGATAGCAGAGGCCTGGCCTACCACAACCTAGTCTGGCCCTCAAATGGGCTAGAACTAGTTCCTGTCAGCCCTTCAAGGGAAAACCTCATTCACCTGTGAGTTGTTGTCATCCTACCATTCTTTCTTTAGGCGCTTGGGGTTCACAACGATCTATGCAAAAATGGCAGACCTACTGTCACTAGTGACATTTGTTTCTTAGTATGGAGTTCAGTCTAGGTCTCCCTGTTCTAGGTTCAGTACTTTAAGCATGCTATCACACCAATTGTATTCTCAAACATTATCCTTGTAGCATTTCTGTTGTGAGTGCCACCCCCTTGTTGCAACGGAAATGGGGTTAGGAAGCAACTTGTACTGCTGAAATTTGCAGATCTGGTGAGGTTTAGTGTTAATTCTAAGCCAGCAAAGATTCCTGTTATCCCCTTGTTTTTCTGCCCTGTGTCTCCCACGCAGCAGCATGAATTAACCACTGAACAGCTTCGTGCCAGTTTTGGGGAAATCCAGGAAGTCAATAATTAATTCTTCTGCAACTTCGTGGTGCCTCACTGGAGCCGTTGGGCATGCTGGCAAAGTTACACCAGTTGCATTCTGTACCTCTGGACTTCAGTTCCTTGCACATCAGTTCCCAACTGATAAAATAGCTTGGAGATAGCAGATCTTACGCCACTTTGCTAATCAGATTTTTTCAGCTTCTTCACTCTTCTTTCTGAAAAGAAAGGGACTTCTTAATACTCTTCAACATTTCCAAGTTATTGTCATTTCTTTTCTGTCAAGGAAACATACCAGCTCTTGATAAAAAAAGCAAAGAGGATACCCTATCAATTTCCAGTCTGAATCATATTCCTTGACATCAGATTACTGTAAGAAATATAGATTAAGGGGTCCCCTTGTGGGTAGTTGGAAACCAAAGAGAGGCTTAGAAGGAAATATTTGGAAAGTGTTACGTTTGCTGCTATGTAATACAGGCTGCTTTCAGCCAAGCAAGGCACCAGAAAAAGAAAAGTGGTTAAACCCCAATTGGAGCTTGGTGTATAAGATGCTTCAGAATTTAGGCTGGACTGTTGGGTTTAATGTTTTATTATTAGACCTGACCATCTTATGTGTTTGATATTTGAGCATGGGAATTCAGAGCATTATTGATTTCACTTCTTTTAAATTTCAGCAGCTTCCCAAGAGACAGAGTGAGTTAGTAAGGATGCAAAATATGTAAGTAATATATTTTACTAGCTAAAGAGTTTAGGCCAACATTTTAAAACTTCTGAAATGTTTTCTTTTTGGAGTAAGGGATGATCCAGCTGTCTGCTTTTGGTGACTCCTGTTTTTCTCTCTCCCTCTCTCTTTCTTCTTTCCCTTAATCTTCTGCAAACTATGGGCACAGCAGTAGCTGTTCTTTCTCCTCCCTTTGTGAAGGTGTACTTTTTATGGGCTTGTTAGTATCTGACTGGGATTTAGTTCTGCATAATGTAGAAAGTTTGGGGACTGTGATGGGCGAGCCCTTGGCAGTAGAGAAGAACAGAACAAAAACTGATGTTCTTAAATGATGCTGATTAAGTAGATGTGATGTCTCCTTTGTGGCAAAGATACTAACGAAAAGCACTGTTGTATCTTGGGAACTCTAAAATGGCTGTGAAAGGTCAACCTGGCTTTAAGACTACTTGATAGTGTCTTGTTTTGGTTAAGTCAGTTAAGTGTGGCAGAGTTAGTGATCAATGGAATTGTGGCATATTTAGAATTAAGCCGGTATGACCCGACCCATACTCTTTCTGTTTTAGACCCTTCGCAGGTGTTACAGTCGTGTGAAGGAGCATGGTGTTGGGAAGAGGAAAAGCAGTTACACATTTGAACAGTTGGAGCAGGTATTTGGGCAAGGAGGATGGGACTCTCAGTCCTGCCAGCCGGTGCTTATCAACAGCAGTGGCTTGTACCAGGAGTTGGAGTCAGACGGCAGCACAATGGAGGAATACTCACAGGATGAATGGGGGAACCACAGTCAAGATCTTCACTGTTACCAGCCTGGCGATCAAGAGCTGGGTAAGAAGTGCCGAACCTCACCTGTATTCTGGAAATTTATTGGCTTTGTTTTCTACCTCCAAATGCAAGAATGCTCCAGTTTTTAGAAACATAGCAAGTCAGAAGGGGCCCGTCAGGCCATCTAGTCTGACCCCTGGCTCCAGCTGGCTGTGCTTATGACATGCCTCCCATATGCATGCCCAGCCTATGCTTGAACACCCTCACCAATGGGGCTCCAACCACCTCCCATGGAAGCCCATTTCACACCCTAGGGATAGAATGCCATCACACAGAGAATATTCTTTCTTTCCACTTCACTTTTCCATTGTGGTTTTTGTCATTTAGTTGAAGTTTCTTATCTTAAAGAAAGGCAATGGGTAGCATAGTACTTTGCTAGCCAGTCTGTTACTCTTTGTTTACATATCTGTAATGAATTGTTATTACTACTCGGTAAATTTATATACCGTTATATTTAAAATCTACCACGTTTCCAAATTGAGAACCAGTGTGGTATGGTGAATTCCATTCCTCAGCCCTGAAGCTCACTGGATAACTTTGGGCCAGTCATGGATTCTCAGCGTAAGCTACCTAAAAGTGTTATTGATGTGTTGATAAAAATGGAGTGGAGATGAACTATGTAAGCCTCTTTGCATTCCTCAGAAGAGAAAAACTGTGTACTACAAGTGCATAACGATATACTTTCTGATGTAACCAAAAGATCTCAGGAGGGCCGGTCTTAAATTCTACAATGTTTTGAACTGCTAATGTCCTCATACTGCCTCATCTTAGTACTCGCTCACGCACACGCACACACATGGTTTATTATGTAAACTGGCTCCCACCTGGAAAATGGGTGTTGCAACATGGGAGAGTTTCAAAATATCCATTTGGATGTTGAGCATTTTGCTTTATTTGTTGCTTCTTGCTTATGATCAGATGTTAGAGTTGTAGCTACATCCAGTTACATCTTAAGATAAACATTTTGTGTTTGCTTTTAATTGAAATAGGAATTGGTGCATGAGTAACCTAAATCTAATATGAATGCATTTGTTATGTGACTTTCAAACGTAAGGAAGATAGTCCTCAGTATAGAAATGTATTTCAGTTTAGTAACTCTCTGGCTTAACATCATTGTTCTTAAAAGCAAGCAGACCCTAATTCTCTAAATTGTATACCGTTAAATTTTTATTTATTTTAATTTTTATATACCGCATCATTCCCGTAGGCTGTGGGCAGTTTACAGAAATTAAAACCAGCAGTGATTAAAATTTTACTGAAAAACTGTTAAATAAAACTGATCTGAGAACTAATCTGGGAAGACCTGTCAGAACAGAAAGGTTTTTAACTCCCTTTTGAAGGCAGTAGTCTTGGATATCTGGCACATCTTGCCTGGCCGGCCATTCCACAGTTTAGGGGCAACTACCAAGAAAGTCCTCTGGGTAGTTGACATTCACCTTACAGAAGCAAACTTCAGAAGGTTTCCCCTAGGATGTTAGCTGGCAAGATGGAATATACAGGCAAAGGCACTCCTGAAGGTATTTTGAACCCAAGCGATGAAGGGAATCCGTTTTACTTGTAGTTAGGTGCCACTCTGATGTGTACGTCTGGGTATTATTGATTTGAGACATGGTTGTAGACAATGTGCAGTTGCATTTTAAGTAGCAAGGTTCACTTGTTATCCAACAATTACTTACAATGTTACCTTTTAGATGAAATGCCAACTACAAAGAAATCATTGAAAATAAAGCAGGAATCTTCGGAAGAATCACAGTAAGTAGTTTACTAGTGTTGTACCTGTGAATCAAAATTCTCATAGGTGTTCATTTCAGAAGAAAAGTATTTGCCATGGTTAGGACTAATTATCAAGTCCTTCAAATTGTCCTTCATCCAAATAACATTTGCTCTAATCAAACAAAACTGTTAACTCTGTAGCATGTTGGCCAGCAGCTGTGCATCTGTCGTGAATCCAAATCCAGATGCCGAATTCTTTGTAAACTTGTTCTCAAAGTTTATTTCTCAACCTATTTTATTCCCAAAGTCAGTAGTGTGTGTGTTTGGAGGTGGGGGTAGGTTGGTTCCCACCAGATTATTTGTTTGCATATCTAACATCCTGGCCTTCTGCTTCAGAAATGGAACTGTTCAAGGTGGCTAACATGGTGGGTTAAAAATGCAGTATCTGTTTTAAACTATAAACTAAGCTGATGGGATGTAGATTTAACAAAACAATAGTTATAACAGAAGAAGAGAAACAGCAGAGTCATTCAGCATTCAAGCCAAATGTTTTGTTGATGCAAAACATTTTCTCATAGTAGTGCAATGCTATAAGAGAAGGTGACCCAGACCAAAGTCTTGAGGCAGGTAACTGCAAAGTTGGGATGACAGAGAGGAGTCATGCCTTCATACCAGCAGCGTCCTAGAAGAGGGAGGATGATGCAAGAAGGCCTGTCCAGTGAACCACAGTGGAAGGGCAGGATTGTGAGAGGAAATGCTCTTTTGGGTGTCCTGGTCTCAAGACATTTAAGGCTTTAAAGATAATAACCAATGTTTTGAATTGCCCCTGGACATGCACAGGCAAGGAGGCAATCGATGTAAGTTTAGCACACTAAGTTAGTCCTAAGGGATGGTTAAGAGGGGGAAGGTTACAAAAGCAGCACATCTGTGCTGCTGTCTGCTGTTCCTCGAGCGCCATCCTCCAACCTTTGTCGGGAAGATGGCTGCTAAACTCCATCTTTCTAGCAAACAAGCTCGGGACCTTTTCCTTTATCTTCTGAGTGGCAGTTTGTATAATTGTGCTGAGTACAACAACATGGAAATTGGTTTTAATTTCCAGAATACTTTCCACCCAGAATACATTAAAAGCTGTTTTATGCTGGGTTAGATCACAGTAATGGATGTGCCCTGCATGACTGACAGCGGCTCGCTAGAGCTTCTGGCCGAAGTCTTTGCCTGCCTTACCCAGAGAAGCCCAGGACTGTTCTCTGCCATTGCACTTCAGCCTTTCTTCATGCTGCACTAAACAATAGCAGGGCCATTTTTAATACTTTGTTTCATATGAATATGGCGCCAGAGACACACCTTCACTGTTCTGTGTAGTGTGCAGATCGGCAGGAACATGCCCCTGGGACAAGTCAGTAGGGTTCTATTCTGTCAAATTAAGTTCAGGAAGGTCCAAGACATTAATTTCTCCAGTTGCTCTATCTTTATAGTGTCTGGTGCTCCTGCTTATGCTGTTTCTTGTACTCTTCTAAACCATGGGGTTATCTTCCATAAAACTTACACTCTGTTCTTTTGGGTTTTTTCCCTTAAGGAAACGAGATATGATGCAGAATATTGTACAAATCTTGGAATCCGTCCAGTTAAAATGGGAGTTATTTCAAAGCTGGACTGACTTCTCTAGACTACATCTTTCTAACAAACTGGCCATATTTGGCATTGGCTATAACACACGGTGGAAGGAGGACATCCGCTACCACTATGCAGAGATCAGCTCCCAGGTCCCTCTTGGCAAGCGACTCCGGGAATATTTCAACTCTGAGAAGCCAGAGGGCAGGATCATCATGACCAGGGTACAAAAAATGAACTGGAAGAATGTTTACTACAAATTCCTAGAGATCACGATTAGTGAAGCCAGGTGCCTGGAACTGCACATGGAGATTGACTGGATACCTATTGCTCACTCCAAGCCAACTGGTGGGAACATTGTCCAGTATTTATTACCTGGGGGCATTCCTAAGAGCCCAGGTCTATATGCCATCGGTTATGAAGATTGTCACGAGAAACCGCAGTCCCCTGATCATGAGGGCATCAGCCAGATCCCCGAAAATGAGACCCTGGGGGAAACAGAAATGCCCTTGTCACAAGCTTCCCTCAAAGTGGAGATGGAGTCCACCCGAATCATATATTGCTACCTTGGTATTGCTGAGGTCAGAACTCTCCAGCAATGTTTGTTCTTACATTTTCAGGCGAACACCAAAACCTTCAGCAAAGAGTGGGTTGGAATCAATGGATTTTTATCTCAAAACTGTATTGTGGACCCGGGGATTTCTCCTAAATCAATCTACATTAAATTTGTGGAAGTGGAGAGGGACTTCCTTTCTGCTGGCTCTTTGGTAGAGTGCCTGGAAAAAGCCATTGGGTATCCCTTGAAATTCAACAACTGAATCTCATCCTTCATAAGGATCAGGGCTTCGTCTCCTCTGTGGCATTCAGGCATCTGGACAGTGCAAGACCAGGCAAAAGACATCTTTCCGAGTGAACTCGAACAGCCACAAAAAGACACGTGCAAGTGATTTTACAAAAATGCATACTCCAAGTCAGTAAAATATACAACTTACTTACTTGGGCTAATTAGCTGGTTTTGTAAAGAGAAGACTCTGAAAGAGAGCCCTGTAAATACAATGACTGTTGGTACATTCCACGTTGGACGAGCGTACACTTTACGTTTCATATGAAAAAGCTGTTTTCCACAATGTCTCATTTTTACACATCTGTCTCTCTAAGTGTTATTACAGTTATGTAATAAATAAGCAATAGATAATGGCAAGTTTAAACTTGGAGTCACATGAGACTGTTTTTCAGTGCCACCTTTAGCTCCTCTTGTATATAATTTAGCATTTCACAGTTTTTCACCCATCAAGTGTTTTTACTATTTCCAACCAGTGTTGCCTGCAAAAACTTATGTTTCTGTGATGTATCACACTTTACTAGTAGTGTTGCCATATCAGCTTTTTATTTTTTTTTTACATTAAAGTAATCCCTGGCCTTTTTTAAAAAAATTAGTTAGCCTCTTTGTGTGGCAGTGAAGGTAATCCAACCGCTGGGAAGCATTTTGTCAAACCATGCTTTTATCAAATACAATCAAAGCTGTGAGAAGGGGTGGGGTTGGGTGGGGATGGGTTAGCTATGGACCACGGGAGTAAGCATTTCTAATGCCTCATCAGAATGTTACTATATACGGCCCATTACGCTGCTGGCAAGTTCCAGCTTTTTAAAAGTTTTTTTTAAGAACCTCATTGATCGGTGGAAGTTGTGACATACAATGAATGTGTCAGTCCAAATAAAAACAAACATGTGGATTTTCAGAAATGTGTTTCTTACTCAATGGTATCTCCCTGGGTGTAGAAATGATCTTCACTGGTGTTCATTTAAAAAGACACCTAGGACTCAATCCTATGGCCTTCTAATATTGTTTGGGGGGCCATAAGATAGACCCAGTTCTAACTCTGGAGGAACTCTCTGAGGTTGGAGCTTCAACCTCAGAGGCTCTTGCAACCCGCATGGCTGTTCCAGTGATGACTCAAGGCTATCTTCTTAGCTGCCATGAGGAAGGCATTCTGGGTGGAGGGGAGGAACGTGACACCATCCTCATTCAGTGCTTTTAAGGGCAAAGGGAGCATGGAGGCATCCTGACCTCAGTGGTCCTCAGCCCATAATCCTGAGTTCAGAAGGTTACAGGCAGCTGCATTGGATAGTCCCTTAACTGACTTGTATTTTTTAAGAGTTTTGAAGTGTGTGTATCTCAGCCCTGACCTGGAAGAAAAAATACATTTTAAGGTGATTTACAATGCAAAATATCGCATTAATATCAGTTAAAAAACCTAGCAGGCATGCATTTTCCCAATAAGATTACAATGTTTCAGTATCACCAGGTGTTTGCCAAAAATCAAATGATTTGTAGTTGTGTTGCAGAGGCCATCAGCTTTGGTGAACTTCATTGCGGAGGGACTTCTCTAAAGCATAAGCCACTACTGAAAAGCCTTTGCCTCCTGCATCAGTCAGTGCAGTCTTCGGCAATGGCTGTGTTCAATATAAAAGGACAAGCCAAAATTCTAGAGAATCCTGGCATACTGCTCATGTACAAGCATGATGGTGTAAATTGCCCTGTTGCTCCCACATGACTCCTTTCTCAGCATGAGCAAAGTCACTCATTGGAAACTCATCCACAAAGAAACATTGAACAATTAATTAGAAGTCAACTGCTGGTTTATTACTCCCAAACAAACCAAGGATCCTAAACCAATGTTAAATCCTGCTTAGTTAAGAAAGCAACAACCCAGAATCCCACTCAGGATGTGACACTAGCATACATGGATGTATGATTATTGAAGACCCTTAGACTAGTGAAAGGAGCTAAGCAGGTGTGATTGTGCCTACGTGTGAACCATCATGTATGTTCTGGAATGATGATTTGGGGCACTCTGGAGTTTGGGCTTTTGTTCTGTGTGGAAATAGTACTGGCACATAGGAAGCTCATTTGGGAAGGGATGTCCACAGAGGGACTCTGACCTTGTATCATGAGTTCCTTTCAGGAAACGGCATCTGTCCTTTTATTCCTCGAGCAGAATGGCCTTTTTAGCTTTTCTGTGGTGGGGCCAAGTATAACTGCACAGTCAGAAGATAGGAATGTAAATGCCTTCAGGTTTGTCAGTGGGTCTGAAGTGTAGCTACCATCTTTCAAATGTTAAGCTTATGTAACACTGGCCCTTGGCTCAGAATTGCCCTTCAGTTCTTAAACCAGGGGTTACACAGTGAAGAACGTGCTGTAAAGTGACAGTTTGTATTTGGTATGTTAAACTACTGCTTTAAGGAAAGTGCATATATGTTGTTAACCCATAATGTACTCCATGGTATCACCAATGAGCATGAAAATGCACATGTTTCTGAGGTTGTGGGCTGCTGGAAGGTCTCATTTGAGAATTTACATATGATCTAACTGCATGTAGCAAAATGTGAAGTGGTGCCACCTCATTTCTGTTAATAGAAGGATAAGAGCAACTTCTTCCATGCCTGGAAATGAAAACGCATCTCAAATTCTCTACTGTTTTGGGATCTGTACAACAGGTTCAAGAAGCAATTTTGCACTGAGAGTCTCCTGTTGGGAGATAATGTCACAGGAAGCGAATCCAGTGTTTTTCCCATCTGCTTTCTCTCAAAGATGGCGTTTTCTAGATATGATCAACTGGTAGTCTTTGGGCTGAATCCTCACATTTGCATCTTTAATTTACAGGTCAGACATTAAGATGCTGTACTATGGCAGGTGGAAGGGAGGTTTCTGCACAGGTTTCTGTGTGGCTGACCCAGAAGCAGGGATAGCAGTAGGAGGTAAGTGAACAAATAGTAAAAGTTGCTTCCTTTAAACATTTTTCAGCAACTTTTATCGGTAGATTTGAACCAAATATTTCTGCTCCCCCAGAAATCATCATTCCTAGTTTTAAAAACCTTGAATGTATATTTGACTGGAAAGCACCTGACTATATTTTTAAAAATGACTTTTTATGTCATTAACAGAGGTGGAGAATGTGTGGCCTTCCCTTTTTATTATTTTCTTAACATAAACTGAATACAGAAAGAAGAAAAGTATATGTAAAATAGAATAAAGTTGCCAAGGGCTTTTAAACAAGTACAACCAATACATTCAAGCCCACAAATTTGTCTTCTGTCATTCAGCACTCAATGGAGTTCAGAAAAAAAAGTCATCATTCTGTACACCAACAAATCTTTTAATTGCTTTAAGTCAATTATAGATCCTTATCTACTTTTTAAAGAACTCCCTTTTACATCCCATCAATTATGCTGGGCATAATAGAATTTCCATTTGTCATTAAATTCTTCAACCAGTCTTCTATTTACATAATTAGTTAATTTTGCTATCACTGCATATTCTGCCAGCTTAGGGAATGTGTAGCCTTCCTGTTGTCGCACTCTTATCGCCATAGTCTGTTGGCTAGGCTTCATGGACACTGAAGTTTGACTGCGTCTTGAGGTGTACATGTTCTTCGTCCTTGTAATATAACCTCCAACAGAGACCTTTCGGAAACCCTGGGTTGCAGACCAAATTGCAGTATGCACATTCAGGTAATAAGACTGCTGCAGACTTCTGTTAGAATATCTTCCTCTAATTCTTTAGCATTGAGTTGGTGCCAGCTCTCTGTGGTTCAAGCTGAGCCAGCGCACAGGCTTCTGTCTCTAAGGTGGACCACAAATTGCAAATTTTTAAACCACTAATGAAATTTATATGAATAAGGACCTGAAAGCCATATGGCTCTAGAGTGTTTTGTACAAATCATGTTTTGGGGTTCTTATGTGCTCACATTTCATTAGCAGCTAAATTAGGTGCAGAATGGTCCATCTCAGGGGCTCGCAGGGGAAAAAACCCAGTTGGTTCTACTTCTAATCAGAAGCAGTCAGGAAACCTGTTGAGCTCAAATGACCTGGATTTTCCTGTGTGGTACATCCATACGAGAAATGATCCACCCAGGATCAGGCCTTTCATCTGCCAGATCCCACTTTATCTTACAAGAACCCTGGGAGGTAGGTTAGGCTGAGGGACAATGGCTGGGCAGGTTACCTTTTGAGTTTTAGATCTGCATGGAGATTTATACCTGATTCCATAGAAACAGGGCGAGTCAGAAGGGGTCTCCTGGGCCATCTAGTCTGACCTCCGGCACCAGCCTGCTCCGCTCACGACATGCCTACCATGTGCATGTCCAGGATATCCTTGAACACCCGCACCAAAGATGATCTCAGGTGCCTTGATTTTAACCCGCCTCCTGGCAAAAGGGTGATATCCAGCAGCCAATGCTAGGATAACCTGCCATCTCCCAAAGCATCTCCTACCTGGGCTGTATTCTAGCTGCAGGCAGCAAGAGGTTGAAGCCATGAAGCCTGGCCAGTTGTCCTTGGCACAGACCTTATCTCTTCCTCTTGATAACCCCAAAAGTAAATCATGCACCTTTCCTAGGTCTTGTCCCACCAGGGCCTAATCATGAAAAGACAGAAAAGAAAAGCTGGCCGTCTCTGCTAAGTCTTTAGAACTGACTGCTCCTTAAGATCTCTGGAGTTAAACTTGCTTCTAAGCAGTTCTCATACCTACTTAAGTCAGCAGAGGGAGCCCTGCTGTAAAGAATTCTGAATTTCCCTCTTGGAGAAATTACACCAATTCTCAAGGCTGCTGTCAGCGCACACCCACATAGCAAGCAGGTGACTGGGTGCATGCCATTTTGCAAGAAAGACGGGGCCACCCAAAAACTGAATAGTATCTACAGTTAACAGAAATACAGAGATTCATGAATTAAAGGATACTACTTTACAAAAAAATAAAAATAAAATCCAAACTACAAAAACTGTCTAATGAGAACTTAGCTGCCACAAAATTTACATGGCATTTTGAGTCTTTAGAAAGCAGGTAGGGATTAATGTAATAGTAACTTGGTGCTGTTAAGAGTGTCTGGACTATTGGCTATGCTGGCTGCTGCTGATGGGAGGTACGGTCCAAAACATCTGGACAGCATCAGATGAAACATCTGGAGGGCTGCTAGAGCTGGTTTGTTGACATTGACGCATGCATCTGCTTGCATTTGAGGGCTTACCGCTGGGGGGTGGGGTGGGGGGAGATGCCATGGCTATGGGAATTGGCTTGAGCATCTCTCACTCCATCACCGCTTCCATCTGCTGCTGCTTCCATCATTGCAAAAAAAATCTATTAAGGGATAGATAAATGGAATTATTTATTATTTTGTTCTTTATATATGTATAAGCTGCCAAATAGTTC